ACCCTGCTCCAGTGAATGTGTCCCCTGCCGGTGGCAGGGAGTTTGAGCGGGAAGAGCTTTAAGGTCCCTTCCAACCCAAACAAGTCTGATTCTAAACCAGCTTTTGCCAACACAACAAAGTACATGGGGATCACTGTAGTAGCAGATCGGCTTTAAAGACCTAACCAGCAACAGGAGCCAAGACCAAGCCACAACAGGGAGAAACCAAACAGCTCCATGTCCTAACCTCCCAGGGAAGCACTTGTCACAGTGACCTCAATCACTTGAGCAGAAGCTGAGCCCTACTGCAGACCTGCCAGGTTTTGTTATCTCTATTTCCCAATCTTCCATGCCCACTGCCCATGCTGAGTGTGAACTCAGCCCCAGCACAACCTCGCTGTGCACCCGCTGCAGCAGCGCGCCTGGCGCCGGGTGTGCACAAGGGCCTGACTCACTTGGATTTTCCTCAAATGAAACCCTCCTGAACTGACTGTTTCAAAGGGTTTTATTGAAAGCCAAATGCTTGGCTCGATGTTGGTAAGAAAACTTAACAAAAGGGAATCGCACACCAAGTGTTTGGATGGAGGGAAGACAAAGGCAGAAGAAACCAAACCAACCAATCTCACGTTGGTTTAAGATGCTTGGAAGGATAGAGGTGCAGAACAGTCCTCAGCCTATGAAAACTCACAGTAAGAGCAACCAGTCCCAAAAATTCAGTGATTAAAACTAAGGAACAAATGAGTTCTATTTTATTTACAGACTGAATGGAGAAAGTTTGTATCTGTAAAGAGGTTTCTTACGACAGCAAAATCCAAATGGCCTTTGCCAAGCTGTGGCTGAAGGCTCGGTTCTTCAGCACCTCAAGCTACAGGAAGTGGTAGCAAGTCTCTTGGTTTGCAAGTCTTCTGGGTGAACTTAGTGTTCAAGAAACCAAGTAGCCATCACCTCTGAAGATGAAGAACTTGCCCCCACATCCCTCAAGCCTTGCAGCCACACTCCACACCAATCCTCACCTTGTCTTCCACAGGCCAGAGGTAAACCAACTAGGCACTGGTTTATGCAATGTCAGGTGAAGGTCAGGCTATACTTCTGGCTTCATGACAGCATCAGAACCCAGTTTTCCAGGGAACAATAGCCTGACTTGAACAACAGCCTCAAAACCTGGGGTGGAGATAGTCCCTTGTTGTATTTGCCATTAACAAACCAACCAACCAACCCAGAGCAGCACAAGCTGCACATCTGAACAGCAGAGGATCTGCACTCCCTGGAACATGGCACTGAGCTAAACACAAATGAAGTCCCTGAACTACTTACTAGTATCTTTGGTGCTACCCTTCCCTGTCAGCAGAGCACCACGTGAAGGTCTGTTCTCACCTGCTCTGTTCTCCTCCCCAAGCACCACCCAGGTCTTGTTACGACATGGGTGTCGTGACACTCAAGGGGGCTCTTCTGGGTGACAGATGGTATCGTGACTTCAAAAAGTTTTACAATATTAGCAAATAAGAGACTGGTAACGCAGTTTCATAACATTTCACAGAAAAATTACAATTGGATTTGAAAACATGTTGTCCTCCAAAAGCATCCTCAGTAGTAAGGTCGTCGCGGGTTGTTCTGTGGGGAAGAAGAGAAAAATGAATCAAAACTGCTGTCTTCACAGAACAATGAGCATCTGAGCTTAATTACCTGAAAAAGCCACTGAAACGTGACATTTCTGACAGCAAAACCTGAGCTTTGCCCATCACACGTTATAAATGGAGCTTTCAAGGTGTGCTGGCATGCGGAATGGACGAGGCCAATGCAAATGGAGCAGCCTTTTGCAACCAGGAAAGCAATTATCCAAGAGAACCCTTGGATTCATGGACAAGCCCCCTGTATCCTTTGTGCTCAGCATTTATTCTTGGTATGCACCAGATAAAACTCAACCCATAGGCTTTTGTGTTTAAAAATAAAGTGATGGCAAGGAAAACTGCGCATCCGTGGCTGTTTTGGTAGCGATAATGTGATTCAGCATGAGAGCAGAATCAAAAGAGAAACTTTCACAGCATTTGCTCTCTTGGCTAAGTGCTACAAACACCCCCATCCTTACGAGACACACACAGAAGCCTCAGTGGGTTTGTCACTGTATCTGCTCTCGTTTTGGGACCACCTTACCAATGGATTTGGTCGGAAGCGGTAGGCGAGCATCATTCGCTTACGGAATGCCTCGTACTCATCATCCTCCTTGGTGAGCTCAGCGGGACGATCGATGCCAAAACCAGCTCCATCCACAGCAGCAGTTCCCCTGGTTGGAAAGAGGGAACAAAGATGTGACAGATCAGCTTCCTCTTCACCAGAAAGACCTGCTGCCTCTTGTCAGCAGAGCTGGGGGATGCATCAGGGAGTGCTGGGCATCGTCACGCAGAGCGCGCTGCATCAGGACAGACAGCTAATACCGAGCAGCTTATTGCATTTGCCATGTTGCTACCCTGCCCTTCTGAGTCAGTGATGCTTGCTGTTGTTAGATGGAAGCAGGAGTGTCAACATATATTTGCTTAACCTTTCACAGCTGGAAGAGAAACGGCATCTGTGCT